GCTGAGGGAGCGGGCACTGTCGGAGGGTCGGCGCTGAGGGAGCGGGCACTGTCGGAGGGTCAGCGCTGAGGGAGCGGGCACTGTCGGAGGGTCAGCGCTGAGGGAGCGCTGCCTAACCAATTCTAATTCAGCCAATGTGGGTTGTTCGCTGTGTGTGGGAACTTGCTGTGTACATATTGGTCGGAGCATTCTCTCCACCTTTGGTGAAAATGAGTTCAGTAAAGGTTTTCGATAATGCTCAGTCCCTCTCCTTGCTTTCCTCAGGGACTAAATGCAGTTTGTTACGCCCTGGGACAGGCCTCAGTCTGATACATTTCATATTGGCCTTGTTACCCAGAAGTCAGTCAGTGTCCTGAGCCCCAGGGCATGGATTAACTCTCAGAGGCTGTGTGTCCTCTGTCTCAACTCAGTGCACTCTCCTCCAGCTAAGGGAAGGGTTAACGGAGAGAGGAGGGGAGAGAGAAAGAGAGAGAGAGGGGAAAGTAGCAGAGGAGGTGGAGGTGGGGGGAATGAGAGGGAATGGAGAGAATCTGAGAGAGATGGAGGGAGAGATGTAGGGGACCAGCTGGATGTGAGACTTGGGGAAGTGGGGGGAAAGTTGAGGGGAAAGGGGATGCAAAGGACTCACTGAGTATCTTGCAGATGCCGATGACAGAGCTGAAGACGGGACTGGAAAAGCTTGCTTTCAGTTTGACCGTTCGGAGGTTGGGGAGTTGAAGACGCAAGGATTTGTGTTGAGGGGTGAACAGCAGCTTGGCGTCGGCCTGGATGCCGCACTTGTCCAGGGTCCAGTTGGTTTTCAGAACCCAGCATTTCTTCTGTTCCCACCATAGCCCATGGTCCGACCAGTTCTTCTTTATCTCTGACAAACAGACAGGCAGAAATCAAACATCTACATCCCGGGCCGATTGGACAGTCTTGGAAATAAGGAGCACCTTCCCAACATTCCCATTCCCTCCATCAGCCATTTTACAGCATCACAGGAGCCTGACTGACCCAGTCACCAGATTACCAACATCCCAATGTCCCATCGCAGCTCCCTCCCCGTCCCTGTCACCCACTCTGGCCCCTCCCTATCTCTGTCACCTCCTCAGGCCCCTACACCCCTCCCAGACCTTTCAGATGAGACATTAAAAGATCCCGTCTTTTCTTTTTATTCATGGGATGAGGGTGTCGCTGTCCAGGCAGCATTTATTGCCCATCCCTAATTGCCCAGGGGGCAGTTAAGAGTCAACCACATTGCTGTGGGTCTGGAGTCACATGTAGGCCCAGACCAGGTAAGGATGGCAGTTTTCTTCCCTAAAGGGCATTAGTGAACCAGAAGGGTTTTTTCCAACAATCAACAATGGATTCATGGCTATTACTAGATTCTTAATTCCAGATATTTATTGAATTCAAATTCCACCATCTGCTGAGGCAGGATTCAAACCCAGGTCCCCAGAATATTACCTGGGTCTCTGGATTAACAGCCCAGTGATAATACCACCAGGCCATCACCTCCCCTTGGCGACGGGTTGGTTGGGGGAGAGGGGAGCGTAAAAGATCCCAAGGCCACTATTGGAAGAAAGAAGAGCAGAGGGAGGCTTCTCCCCGGGGGTCCTGAGGCCAATACTTATCCCTCCCCCAAAATCACTGAACACAGATGGTCTGGATCACTCCCACAATGCTATGGGTGGGATCTCGCTGTGCCTGCTGCGGTTTGCACAGTCCAAAATGAGAATGCAGGTCAAAAATAAAGTTCTTTTATTCAGGTCCCAACGTCCTGAAAGGCGCTGTTTAAATGCAAATCTCATGCGGAGCGGCTCTGGGCCAGAAGTCATTTTTGATAGAGGACAAAAATACAGACCGGGCGATGTGGAGGGACAGCACGCTGCCTGCTGATAACTCCAGCCTCCTGTCCCGATAATGCCCTCTCATCCTCCTTCATGGTCAGCTGGAGTGGGTTGTGTCCCTGGAGTCTCCTAGTGTCAGTGAGTCAGCTTGTTTATCTCTGGTTGTACAGCTGGAGGCAGGTTGGGGAAGGAACAGGCTGATAGCAGCGAGAGTTGCCGCCAACATCCAATAATAGGCATCTGCCCGGGAAACGGGGAAGGGGGAGGTTACACCACACCCCCCACAACCCAGGCTAACCACAGCTCTCTGATATCCCAGCATTCAGAACCCACAATGACCTGCATTTCCAGCAACAAGCACTCATAACACTGACTGTGACACAGCAAGCAGGCCACTCTTCCCTCTGTCACCTACTAGCTCCTCCAGCCACCTACACCCGTCCCTGTCTCGGTCACCCCCTCCGGCCCCTACACCCCCTCCCTGTCTCGGTCACCCCCTCCGGCCCCTACACCCCCTCCCTGTCTCGGTCACCCCCTCCGGCCC